TAGGTCTAGATTGACATAAAAGCATTAAAATAATAATTTCTATATCACTTGTCAAATACCTAAGACTCAAAGTTGCGTTCCTGGTTGATGTGAAGCTGGTTTGGGACCCCAAAGTGGGTGAACATCTCGTCAACCAGTCTCTCGGCAGTTGTGGAAGTACTTTGGTCTGGCAACGCGTATGCCACTGGCCATTTTGTAAAGTAGTCTATGGCCACAAGAACATAGCAATTGCCAGAGTCTGTTATCGGGGAAGGACTGAGGATGTCCACCCCCACTCGTTCCATTGGTGCCCCCACCAGATACTGTTGCATTGGGGCATGGGAATGCTGGTTTGGTCCTTTTTGGGCAGTGCAGGAGTCATAGCAATGCACATAAAGCTCCATGTCCTTCCGACAGCCTAGCCAGTGAAATTGCTGCCTCAGCCGGTGTAGGGTATTAGATATCCCAAAATGGCCAGCCCCCACCAAGTCATGAACACTCCTTAGGACCACAGGGCGGAGGGCTGAAGGCACCAGGAGCTGAAAGATGTCATCACCGCATCTGGGGGCATGCCACCTTCAGTACAAGAGGTGTTCATGGATCTCAGAGTTGCCCCACTGGGAATGGTAAGCCTTTGCATCTGGGCCAAGGGGTGATACTGTTGACCACTCAGGGAGCTGTTCATCTGCCAGCCATGTTATCACCAGGACCAGGGACAGATCACCTTCTTGCAAATCAGCAGCCTTTCATTGGTAAATGGAAAGCGCTCACCTCTCCTTAGCTCGTCTGGGCTGATGCTACCTTTGGCCTCACCTCATAACGCTTTTCCTGTTGCTGACAGTATCGGCACTCTGCAGTAGCACACAGGCATTGGGAGAGGACATCAGCATTGCTGTACTGCTTCCCCGGCCAATGCTGGTCAATGCAGGAGGAACTGGCTGACTTGCAGGTATGGGCAAAAGTGTTACATTTCCCGCCCACAGACAGGAGCCCTCGTCTGGTGACACAGTAGTTCTCCTCTCGACTCAGTGCCCGGCTGTACTAGGCCACCACATGCTCACCTCCTCCCCCCTGCTGGGAGAGGATTGCCCCAATTCCTTCATTGCTAGCATCTGTATCCACAATGAAGGGCAGCTGTTATTGGGGGTAAGCCAGTATTGGAGCTGATGTGAGAGCTGCTTTGAGATGCTGACAGACTTGGGCACAACTGCTACTCCATACAAATGGGCAGCCTTTGTCAGCCTGCTGGTAGAGAGGGCTGGCAACAAAGGCAAAATTCCTGATGAACCATTGGTAGTAGGAAGCCAGGCCTAAGAAACTCCAGAGCTCTCGAACACTGGATGGCATCGGCCAATTTTGGACTGCAGTTACCTTGGCAGGGTCGGTGGCAACTCCCTGGGCGCTGACCACATGGCCAAGAAATTATGTTTCCCATTGTAGCAGGTTGCACTTGGCTGAGTTCAGCCGGAGTCCATATTGGCAGATGACACCAAAAACTTCTCTCAGGTGAACTAGAGCATGATCAAAATTACTGGTGTGCACCAGCAAGTCATCAACGTACACCACACAGTGACTGCGGGGGATATTCACCAGCACCCTCTCCATAAGGCGCTCAAAGGTGGCCGGTGCATTGCAGAGGCCAAACGACATCACGCGAAATTGCCACAGTCTATGTCAGAAGGTAAAGGCAGTCTTTGGTTTAGTGTTAGGGTCAAGCTCTACTTGCCAGTAGCCACTCCACATGTCGAGGGAGCTAAACCAACTGGACCCACTGACCTGGTCAAAGGCATAATCGATTTGTGGCAGGGGGTATGAGTCCTTCTAGGTGATGGCATTAAGGTGACGGTAATCCACACAAAACTGCCATCCGCTCTTCTTCTGCACCAGGACCACGGGTGCGGCCCATGGGCTGTCAGATGGCTCAATGACTCCTGCGGCCTGCATTTGGCGAATCATGTCCTCCGCCACCTGTCTTTTGGCTAAGGCCAGCCGGTGGGGGTGTAGGCAGATGGGCCATGCTGATCCAGTGTCATTGGAGGGCTGGACCAGTCCCATTTGTGTGCAGTCCTCATCTATGGCAGGCTTGGCAGAAGTGTTTTCCCACGCAAGAGACAGCCTTTGACAGAGCTTTGGCCCTCCGGGAATTCACAATACAATGCGATATATTTTGTTGTCCCTCTGGGATATTTTATGCAACTTAGAAAAAAAAAATCAGTGACACAGAGAAAAAGACCCTTGTTTAGTTTTTCTTTGAAATCAAAAACATTTTTAAACTGAAAATAATATGACTTTTCATAAGAATAACCTGTTCATCGTATACCCATTGAGGTCCAAAAGTCAAAAGTTATTTTGCATATATGACTAACATGAATGTTGTTAAAGTTTGGAACTATATTTGCTTCAGCCTCATGGATTTAAACGTGTTGCCATCATGATGTTAATTTTTGTTTTTGTGAGCTCTTGTTTAGCATTGTGTATGACAGACATTTGCACAGTTTGTGTCCATAATTAATGCTGCTCCAATCTGAAGTAATTCATGGAATAATTCAATTCCATGACCAGCGTGAAACAAAACGAGCTTAAATCAGATGTGCGGCTTGTTTCCCTCTGTTGCTTCACATTTTCTGCTCAGTGTAGGAGTACAGATGAGTCATATTTATCCAATCCAAAACAGATAGTGTATTAAACCTAAAATAGCTGTGACTCGTTTACTGAATTTATCAAGTATTGGTGAACAAAAGTCTATAGAAAGGGTCTGTTCTTGTCTCAGAGGTCAATATCCTGCTTGTGTCTTTGTCCTCTTCTCCTATCAGATGTTACTGTGTGTGACGCAGGCTCATTTGGCTCAGACTCATTCAGCAGAGTTTTATGGGTTGCTGATGCTTGTAATTAGACCAAACGTGGTGATATCAAAGCATAAATGAATTAGACTTGAGAAGCAATAGTGGATCATCACGTTGAATTTAATTGAACAACCTTTTTCCTTTGTATTTAAGATTGCATGCAAACACAAGTGACACAATATTAAAGCTCAGCTTCTGACCACGGCGGTGAGCAATGATTCAAACAAAAGACCAGCTTCATTTGACATTTTTGTGACAGTTTTACACCAGACAATATGGTTGTGGTCTAATCATTTATTAATTACATGTAAAAAACAGATCTAATTGATTGCAATGATTTCACCTGGACTAAAAGTGTTTCCCATAATGTCTTTAGGTGAGGTGCTCCCTGTGCTGTCATTTCCTTTTGCCTATTCGTGCCATCAGCTCTGCATTGGCAGCTGCTTTGGTCCTCATGTCCTGGTTCTTGGCAAGGTCTATGAGGACACTGAGGATGCTGGTGGGGACGTCAAGGGATAGGGCAAAGCGGGACCCCTGCTGAGCCCGTTTGGGCACCTGGGAAGCCGGGCGTTGCGGTCGTGCTCGCCTGAGCACCAGGTGGTGCTCTGAGCGGAGAAGAGAGTTCAACACGCCGCTGCGGTTCAAGATGTCGACAGCCAGCACGTCCCTCTGCGTGTCCTCATCCAGCTGGGTGAGGGCCGGGCGGCTCCTCTGGCTCTGGACACACCAAGGCAGCAGCAGAGCCAGGCAGAAACACACACTTCTCATGGCCAGCACTGTCTGCAGAAGAGAAATCAGGCTCATCTCTGTTCATCTCTGACACTGTGTCAGTCAGGGATTGACTGGGTACCTCCAAAATATTTACTTCTTGCTTTAGGATTTTAATCTTAGTTCTTCTGAAGATTTTTATACATGAAGACTTAATGGTTTTCAAGTTACACATCCTACAGAGCGTCAGTAGATCAGTAGAGCAACTTCCTGAGGGTTTACAAAGATTATACTCACCATAGTAAAAAGTTGATATCTTGATGTGCAAAAATGGCAGTTCTTCCTGTTTGTGATCAGCTGTGTGTGAATCGACTGAATTCTGCAGGTTTCAGCTCCTGAAGGAAGAACCAGTCAGATGTTGGACTTGACTGCACGTCCTCTGTTCTGTCCCGTCCCTTTGGTCCTCTCTGAGACACTGCTCCTTCCCCTCTTTTTATCTCTTACATACCCTGATGCCCTCCCCTCATTTCACTCCACTTCCTGTGCACTCGGTCTCTTTCTAAAAATAACATGATGCTAATCACAATAGCTTGCCTTTAATGAATTAGAGAGTCGCCTCTGTTTGTAGTCAAAACCATGACCGCATCTGGAGTTCAGCTTCAGTAAACTGCAAGAAGAAAATCTTTTACCTTACAAACTGGATCTTTCTGTGTGGCTACACATCTAAAGACAAACAGAACTGTGCTCAGACTTATACAGCTTGGTGTCTTTTACTTTCTTTGGTCGTCATTGTACTTTTGTCTCAATTGATGGGAAATTATCACAGATTTTAACAGATTCAAATAAGAGAAGTGAATGACAGTCACAGGGGTTTTAACTACTGCCCTTCATTTTCTACTGGAATTCTTGCTTTTGTTTAGTTCTCTTCAAAACTAGCTGAATTTGACATAGAAACCTGCCTGCTGAGGAAAAGAGCATTACATGGTAGAGAGGAAGGCAGGTGGAACAGTGAGGCTACAAGGAGCGGAGGTCACAAAGGTGCAGGGCTTCAAGTACTTGGAGACAACTGTCCAGGAAAATGGGGAGAGTGGTAAAGAGGTGAAAAAGAGAGTCCAGGCGAGTGGAAGGAGAAAAGTTTCAGGAGTGATTTGTGACAAAAGGGTGTCAGCAAAGGTCAAAGTAAGTTTACAAGACAGTGGTGAGACCAGCTATGTTGTATGGTTTGGAGACAGTGGCATTGACAAAAAGACAGGAGAAATAACTGGAAGTGGTGGGAATGAAGATGTTGAGGTTCTCCTTAGGAGTGAAAATTAGGAATGAGTTCATCAGAGGTGCAGCACAGGTTGAAAAACTGGGTGATAAAGTTAGAGTTTTGGGTTGTATGTTACTACTAGTAATTGGGCACACTACTTATTCTGGTGGCAGTTTATGAAGATGTAATGCTGTGGATGCTCCGATGTTATCTTATCTACTAATGACAATAAACCTATTGAGAGGCCAGACTGAGATGGTTTGGACATTTTGGTTATGACTTCAACTATTTGATGAATTTGCAATTACCCGGTATATTTTTTTAAATACTTTTACATAATCAGCCTTGTTTGCTATTTTGCCAATATTTACAACAATGCTAAGACCAGACGCTTGCCCTCTCTGGTTATGGCCTCCATTGCTACAGTGAATCACGTCACGTGACCTTCCAGCTGTCTTATTTAACTCGAAGCAGTTAGAGGACATGGAGGTAGTTAGAATGAGGACAGAAGATGCAGAGGACAGAGTGAGGTGGAGGAGGATCGTTGTGGAGACCCCTCAAGAGGGAACAGCAGAATTAATTTAAGAAGATGTCACAAGTTTGAGAAGTGTCTTTTAAAAATGTTTATTTTTTTTGTTAACTAGCACAAGTACTGGTTGTGCTAAATTCAAAATACAGATCTTGTTCCATTAGTCACTTTATTTTAGTGAAGACTCTCAGCTACCAACGAGTGTCGGTTCAAAATCTGAGAAATTCACTGAGGTTTAGTCATTTTTGTGTTAGCTAACCATACCTAGTTGTGGTAGCCATTTTGAATTGTCTTGACTCTAAAAGTTAATGAGACATAAGCGTATATCCGATTAGTGATCCCTCACCCTTCGTGGGGGTAACGTTCCAGAGACCCCGATAGGTGAAAATCTGTGAAGTAGCAGCGTTATTTTTATTTTTTAAAGCTTTATAAACCCTTCCCACTCTCTTATAACGCTTAAGAGGAGTAGTGGTGCAGAGGTTAGAGAAAGTGGGCCTGTGATTGGAAGGTCACCGGTTCAACTCCGACAAACATCAACATGTTGTTGGGAAAGATGAGCACCCACACCTGCCTCCACCCTCATTTGTCCCACTCTGGGCCCTTGAGCTAGGCCCTTAAAATCCCACCACATCTTTGTGACATTATTTTTGCTAAAATGGCAGACCGATGAACACATTCGAGATCTTTTTTTTTTTTTAACATTGCCGCTGATTATTGTAGTTAACTTTGTTAGTAAAAAAAATGTCATGAACCACTGGACAGATTTTAACCAAACCAAAAAAAAATAATGAATTGGTGTGCAACAGAAACTCTACTAGGCATAAACCTTGAGCTGTGGAAGAAAAAGTCATGCAGAACGAGGAGGAAGAGGCTTCAGACCCAGAGGGACAACTCAGCAACACAAAGCCGACCTCGCTTCATGAGTCACCACCCATCAACAGACTTATCCTCATCTACCTAACGAGAGGAAGAATATACAGTCAGCACAGCTGGAGAATATCTGGACTCGAGGACCCAGGGCTTCATCTCAGGTATACACATCACACTACAGGAAATGGACAAACCACATTATTGTCTTGAAGACAACCTGACCCAAAACAACTCTGTGCATCCATAAGACAAATGATCAGAGCCAAAAACTCATCTGCTAACAGTTTGGAGTCCAAAATAACATGTATAACTCAAGTCCTAAGATCAAATGAAAAATTCTGCTCGTCATAAACCAACACAGCCCACAGTAGAACGTTCCCCAGGGGTGCTGCTCTTATTTTAAGGGTTGTGGTGAACATTTAAGATGCACAAGTTTTTGCTCGAGTCTGAATGAAAAGTGTGAAAATGTGGAGGCTGGAGCAGATTAATGTCCTCGTTACGTGCCTCAGCGCCTTCAGCCTCTAAACATTAATTTATCTCAGGACGCTTCCGTTTTCCTTACATCTGCTTCATTTCTATTAGACACTTTGCTGCACAAGAGGGCTGATTATGCAACAAATATAGAAGAATATTTCTGAGAAAAGCAGCTAGCTGAAGTAATTAGTTTTAGTCTTTAACAGTATTTGCTGTTCGACTTGAAGGTAAATCAAACATCAGCTTACAGATCATGACTTGAACATAATCTAGTAAACACTTTTGAAAGCATCCCAAAAAAACTACTGATTTTTAAAAATCATAAAAATTAAAAGAAAAACACAAAAATGTTCAAATGTTTTTTAATTTATTTATTTGCGTCAGAATGACAGCTATTTTATGTACAATAGTGGACAGAAACAAATGTTACAGAAATTGTAAATATACTCGTGCTCCATATTGTTTATATTTTATTTTGGATGGACTGGGTCACGTTGGTAATTATGGAGTATTCAGGTTCATTCAATCAACAGTATGAGGTGGTGAGTACCTGAACCGTACAATCAATATGGAACCAGAGTAAATTCAAGACTCAGACGGGCAGCTCCTTTCATGACTCCGCACTGAGTGAGATAACAGAGGGGGTCCCACAGAAGATGGCTGCACGTGTCGTTATGCGATTGTGTTCGACCCCCAGGTGATCACTTGTTGTCGAGACGATGAATAAAGCCAGGAGGAGGGAGAAAGAAAAACTGAAGAGGCCACATGTTTTCTTAAAACCTGAGCCAGTACATAGCACTGCGCACTCTGTTATAGTCAGTTAACTGCTCGATGGGGCCTGGGGGGAAGAAGGAGACATTGATTAAAAAAAAACAAAAAAAAAACGTATGGACTTGAAGTTTGTTCCAAAGAGACAAAAAACATGCAAACTCACCAACGCCTACCACAGCAGGACACTTGTCGTAGATATATTTGGTGCAGACGTCGCGCACCACGCTGGGGGTCACGGCCTGAAATGAGATTAAAACAACCTTTATATCAGAAAATGGTGGTTTTGAAAATGTACTGCAGAATGATGTGGAAGCAGAGCACCGAGCTACTTTAACCAGTTCCCTCACATCGATATGAGCGTTCCACTCGGCAAGAGGAACGCGGCGCCCGTAGTACATGATGTGTCTGCCGATTTCATCACAAATGGGCGTTGTTCCTAGAAGATTAACAGACCGCTGACTTCATGTTCAGGGGTGCTGTAGATTCTCTTTGTAGATTAATTCTAGGCATTACATACCATTAAGCTGTCCAATCAAACTGGCCTTCAGAGCGTTTCGCCCTCTGGCCACATCACTCTCTGTGATCGTGGTGCACAGGTTCATCCTGTAGGAAACAAGCAAGCAGCAAAAAAACATAAAAACTTGGTTTTTATTTTATAATTATCTGGAGTTGAGCAACTTCCTGTCTTCGGTATGATGTCAGAGTTACAACTTACCAGGCGTTCTGAGACCAGTGCATCATGTCATCAATGTGGTGTTTATCAGCCACAAAGTAGATGCCCAGCAGGCCGGTGTCACTGTAAGATGAGTGGAAGGCCTGGAAGCTGTGGCACAGTTTGTGCTCCACAGCCAGACGAGCCAAACGGCTGCTCAGGTGCTGAATGAAAGGAAGGACTAGATTAATTCTTCTTATAAGTCTTCACAATCAAATCAGTAGGACATAACCAAGGTTCTGATTGTAGGGCCTATGAAATTGAATTTTCCCTACCAAAGTACTTGCCAGTACTTTGCCAAAATCCATGTTTTATGATATATATATATGTACAAACCAGATTCCAAAAAAGTTGGGACACTAAACAAATTGTGAATAAAAACTGAATCCAATGATGTGGAGGTGCCAACATCTAATATTTTATTCAGAATAGAACACAAATCACAGATCAAAAGTTTAAACTGAGAGAATGTATCATTTTAAGGGAAAAATCTGTTGTTTCCAAATTTCATGGAGTCAACAAATCCCAAAAAAGTTGGGACAAGTCCATTTTTACCACTGTGTGGCATCCCCCCTTCTTCTTACAACACTCAACAGACGTCCGGGGACAGAGGAGACCAGTTTCTCAAGTTTAGAAATAGGAATGCTCTCCCATTCATGTCTAATACAGGCCTCTAACTGTTCAATCGTCTTGGGTCTTCTTTGTCGCACCTTCCACTTTATGATGTGCCAAATGTTCTCTATAGATGAAAGATCTGGACTGCAGGCTGGCCATTTCAGTACCTGGATCCTTCTCCTACGTAGCCATGATGTTGTGATTGCTGCAGAATGTGGTCTGGCATTATCGTGTTGAAAAATGCAGGGTCTTCCCTGAAAGAGATTACATCTAGATGGGAGCATATGTTGTTCTAGAACCTGAACATAGTTCTCTGCATTAATGGTGCCTTTCCAGACATGCAAGCTGCCCATGCCACAAGCGCTCATGCAACCCCATACCATCAGTGATGCAGGCTTCTGAACAAAGCATTGATAACAACTTGGGTTATCCTTGTCCTTTCTGGTCCGGATGACATGGCGTCCCAGTGTTCCATAAAGAACTTCAAATCGTGACTCATCTGACCACAGAACAGTCTTCCATTTTGCCACACTCCATTTTAAATGACCCCTGGCCCAGTGCAAACATCTGAGCTTGTGGAGCTTGCTTAGAAATAGCTTCCTCTTTGCACTGTAGAGTTTCAGCTGGCAACGGCAGTGGCACGGTGGATTGTGTTCACTGACAATGCTTTCTGGAAGTATTCCTGAGCCCATTCTGTTATTTCCTTGACAGTGGCATTCCTGTTTGAGGTGCAGTGACGTTTAAGGGCCCGGAGATCACGAGCATCCAGTAGAGTTTTACGGCCTTGACCCTTACGCACAGCGATTGTTCCAGATTCTCTGAATCTTTTGATGATGTTATGCACGGTTGATAATGATAACTTAAAAGTCTTTGCTATTTTACACTGGGTAACACCATTCTGGTATTGCTGCACTATCTTTCTGCGCAACAATGGTGGACTTGGTGATCCTCTTACCATCTTGGCTTCTGAGAGACACTGACACTCGGAGAAGCTCTTTTTATACCCAATCATGTTGTCAATTGACCTAATTAGTGTTAATTGGTCTTCCAGCTGTTCGTTATATGCTCAATTTCCTTTTTCCAGCCACTTATTGCTACTTGTCCCAACTTTTTTGGGATTTGTTGACACTGTGAAATTTTGAATCAACGTATTTTTTATTTAAATTGTTACATTTACTCAGATTAAACTTTTGATCTGTCATCTATGTTATATTACGAATAAAATATTGACATTTGCCATCTCCACATCATTGCATTCAGTTTTTATTCACAATTTGTTTAGTGTCCCAACTTTTTTGGAATCCGGTTTGTACATCTACAAATGATTTACTTTTAGAATCAGTCCATTTCAAGGTGGCTGCCACAGACGATCAGAACTAGCCAACCTAAAAATGGCTACAACACAATCAGTGTTACAGATAATGAGATAAAATAACGTTATAGCTGAGAGTCATTCACAACACACACTCCGAGTCTGAACATCTCACAATATCACATGAGATTACACACAATATAATTGCCAAGATTTGACCAAAACTGATAACTTCAATTTTAGGGGAGTTTTTGAGATTGAATAAATTAAATTGATGGATTAAAATGTAAAAAGTCGTTCAGACTTGCAGTACTAAACATTGACCAGTTGGTGGCAGCAGCACAGGAATCAACTGTGAAACTTATCGGCCGAAGAAGAACAGCCTGCTGGCTTTAACCGAGCTGAAAAATGGCGGCCGCTGTGTGTAGAGTCGGAAGCTCCGTGGGTCAAGTCCTCGCCAAAACTCGCAGTGTAAGTATATTAAAATAAAACTGGATTAATCGGTATTGAAAAGTCTACAGCAGCAAGAATGCTGGCAGACTTGTTCGCTGTGCTAAACCCGGAGGGATTTTGCTAACCGGTTAGCATTACTTAGCTTGTGGTGAATGAAGGTCAACGGACACCGATCTTAGCCTTTTTAACTTCTTGGTAACAAACCATCCACTTATACAAAAATTACCGTTTTAGTTGACTGTGATGACTTATCATCTGTGACCATTTTAAATTTGCCTTCTCTTACCCTTTATGCTTCTTAGCTAGTGTTAGCATCGTGACTTTCGAAAGGCAAATTCTGAGTTTCTGCTATGATGCTAAATTGTTTGCTTGTTTTGTGTTTGACTAAACTATTGTGATATTACATATATATGGTAATGAGGCTGAGTAACATTTACCTGTTATGAATAGTATATTTATTTATTTAATAAAGACTTGTAACTTGTTTATGATATGAAGTGAAGCATATAAGATTTAAATATGAACAGAACCAATATAATAACCATTCTTGTCCTCTGTTTAGGCGGATAAAACTCAGATTGTTAAATTTAACAGTAATTTTATCGATGTTTATATGTGATCTTGTGCCAAACGTTTCTGTTAATTTGACCTGATCAGCAGCAATCGGATATTCAGACAGTGGATGATAAACATGAATTTCTGTGTTCAAATTTTGTTTTAGTTAACACTGTTAATGAGGACCTATGCTTCTAAGTTGGAGTTTTATATTTTTAAATGCCTGAGATTAAAATGTCAGTTTGTTTTCAGCCAAATTTAAAACGTTTTAATTCTGCACCCTTCTAGCCCGTCCTGCTGTCTCTGAGACGTGGACAGTCTTCAGTCAGCTATGCCCAGAGTCTCTTGGGAGCCCCAGAGACCCAACTTACTATTTTGGACAATAAGTTCAGGGTTGCATCTGAAGATACTGGACATGATACTTGCACGGTGAGAACACACTAATTTACTCCTTGTTTTAGAATTAAATTGCATGTTATTTGTTATTTTTAATTCAGCTACACAACAGTGTAACTTGAGCTCTCCATACACATTTCCTGACACAGGTTGGTCTGTGGATCCGTGCTGGCAGTCGCTATGAGCGTGAGAAGGACTATGGAACTTGCTTTTTCCTGGAACACATGGCTTTCAAGGTAGACTTAATTTAAAAAAAGTCCTTAACAAAATTTAATTTGCCCAAACTTGAAAAATTTGCATATTGTGAAAAACTTCAATTTTCTTTGTCAATCATTTCAGAAAGTGAAACTCATATTACATCAATTCATTACACAGTGAAATATTTAAAGCCTTTATTTCTTGTAATTTTGATGGTTATGGCTTAGAGATCATGAAAAAAAGAAAATTCAGTGTTTCAGAAAATTAGAGTTTTAAAGAGGTTCAACATTGCTAACTGGATGTGTGACGTCACAAGCTCCGTAGCATGGCCGCACTGACGGGAGCTCTGCTTTGACGCAATAATTTTTTTTTGTTCCTGTTCTTGTTTTAACTTTTTTTGCACCTACACTGCACATCCACGCCATGGGTATGACCTTGACACACTTGTAGTTTTCTGTGTTGCTATCCTGCCATCATGCTATCCTGCCATCGTGGTTCAGTTCCTGGCCCCCCTCCAACTTCGGGCTCTGACCTGTCATGGCGGTCTTCATCACGATCCTCCACCTGCCTGCACCGACCGAACTCCACGGACCTGTTCAGTTCCGCGGGAAAATCTTGGATGTTCTCCGTCTGCCAGACTTGGTTCTGGAGGGCAGTCTGGGAGGACAGCTGCTGCAGTCGTATTACTATCAAGCTGCTAGCGGGACCTGCTTTCGAGACCTGCTACCACCACTAACAAGACCACACTGCCAACAGAACCTCACTGCTAGCTGAACCACACTGTAGATGTATTCTTTTTCACTTTTGGCACCTTGTTTTTTGTATTTTTGCTGCATGCTTTGGTATTTCTTGTTGTTTCTTTTTTGGCGAGTCAAGACGGTTCTTGTCCTCAGCATTTCATTGCATTGTTGAACTTGTACAAATGACAAATAACCAAACCTGAGCTCCTAGACATGAGCTACAAATGCCTCATTCCTCAAGTCCAGCCACTCTTGAACCAGAGACAACATCAGAAGTATCTTACCTGCTAAGGACAAAAAGAACTGGACTGTTGCTCAGTGGTCCAGTGTCCTCTTTTCAGATGAAAGTAAAGTTTCATGTCATTTGGACATCAAGGTCCCAGAGGCTGGAAGAAGAGTGGAGAGGAACAGAATCCACATTGTTGAAGTCCAGAGTGACATTTCCACAGTCAGTGGTGGTTTGTGTCCATGTCCTCTGCTGGTGCTGGTCCACTGGGTTTTCTTAATTCCACAACGCAGCATCTACCAGGACATTTTAGAGACTTCATGCTTCCTTCTGCTGACGAGCTTTATGGAGATGCTGGTTTCATTTTCCAGCAGGACTCGGCTCCTGCCCACACTGATGAGGTACCAATATGTGGTTGTGGAATATTCTGTTTCTGAGACACTGAATTTTTAGTTTTCATTATGTTTAAGCCAAAATCTTCAACATTGCAAGAAATAAATACTTGGAAATATTTTGCTTTGTTTATTGAATCTATGTAACGGTCATGAGTTTCACTTTCTGAAATGACAAACAATTTGGAAAGTTTTCACGATATTCTATTTATTTTTTTTAGATACACCTTTATTTAATGTTTAAAAAAAATCTGTAACTTGAATTCTAGCTGTCTATTTTTAGTGCTGAGTTTTAATTTTATTTAAACGTTTTTACATTTTACTCCTTATATTGTTATTTTCTACAGATTTTTATTACTGACTTATTTGTAAGACAAAGACATTTATTGCTCATTCTTGAGACCAAAACTGCTCTGAAGCACCAAAGGGTTAAGCATCGTGTTGTTCTTCCTTTGCCAAAATGTCAATAAAGTCGTCAACAATGTGGGTTACCGGTAATGGTCATGTAAATGTTTCATTCACTCTGACAGCCTTTTAGTTTTGTTGATCCTTGCTGGACTGCAACTTCTGAACACTAGTTTTTAAACAGCGTTTGTAAGGATGTCTTTAAAATGTCTCAAGACAGTTACAAGAGTTTTCAATTTCCTTGCATGATTTGCAGAGGCTTGCATCCTTGTAGCTTGAATTTTGAACACACAAGAAAAACCTTTAGTATGGGGTCCACTTGCAACTAAGGTTGAGTAGCCACGCCCCAGGGACAATTAAAGCACACAGTTGTACATCAGGAGGCTGAAGCAGCAAGGGGCTGTTATAAAAGAGACTAACATATTGCCTAAGAGAAAGTCTCAAAATATTAAACCTTTTTTAGTGTTTATTATTCTTTTTCTTCAAATGTGGTGTAACATGTTCATTAACTAAATATATTTACTATATTTGTTCATCTTTGACCTTAATGTTATCACACTTCCTGTTTTAGACGAGCATTTAAACAACTTGCAAAGACGTACAATGTTTTTTAATACTTTTTAATCTTGTGAAAGCTTGTAACCTTTTGAAAAGTTTTATTTTAGCTTTCAGTTCATGACACTGTACTATATACAGAGCAGATTATATTGTGCATGTACTGATGCATTCAAATGCTCCAAACCTTTATAATAGAAAAAACAAAAAGGGAATTGTTGATAAAACAGGACTTTTTTTTTTTCCTTCATGTTGTTTTGTTAGCTTATGTTCATCATTTTGTATACTTAATTAGGAAAATTGCTTTGTTTATTGCTTCACTTTTTTATGATTCTTGGTGTCCATTTTTGTCCATCTGTTTCAAATAATAAATTGGTATTTATAACTTTATTTAATGTGCAGAGCGAACAATTAACAGTTCTTTTACATCCAGTACCTGTGAGGGAGAAACTAAAGCAACAAACATCCTTAATTCTCTAGTAATTGCCTTAGCTACATCAGAATGTACAGAACTTGTTCATTGCACATTGTGTTTTTCCTGTAGGGAACTAAGAAGTATTCCCAAACAGCCCTGGAGCAGCAGGTGGAGTCTATGGGTGCCCATCTGAGTGCATACACTTCCCGTGAGCATACGGCATACTACATGAAGACCCTTACCAAAGATCTGCCTAAAGGTAAGAAGTTGTATTGGAAAACCAATTCATACATTATTCATGCAGTAATGTGTTTTACAGTAAGCTTGCTATTTCTAGTCTATTCGTTCTTGCAAGTTTAAGACATTCAGAATATGTTTTGTCTTTATGCACCAAGCAGTAATTCCACTTTCTTTGCCCATTTGCCAGCACTAATGGTGTGTTTATGTCCTGCTTCCCAGCTGTGGAGCTGCTCTCAGAGGTTGTGCAGAACTGCTCCCTGAACGAGGCAGATATTGAGCAGCAGAGAAATGTGGTGCTGCATGAGCTAGAGGAAGCTGAGGGCAACCAGCAGGAAGTATGCCTGGACCTGCTGCATGCCACCGCCTACCAGGGCACTCCTCTGGGTCAAAGTGTAATGGGCCCCTCCAGCAATGCCAAGTAGGAGGACCTGGATCTTCACACACACGCTTCAACAGGAACACACCATTATCTAGTGGTGTTGTAATGGTTTCATATGTGGTTTTAAAACTAGCTCATCATCAAGCCCCTCTACACTATTATTTACAATGATGTTACTAGAGTACTCTACACAAAGTCTGCATCATTTTCTAAGATGCTGGTGGTTCTTGTATCTCTCAGGAATGTGACTCGGCAGGACTTGGTGGATTACATCAACAGACATTATAAAGCCCCTCGTATGGTACTGGCTGCTGCTGGAGGTGGGTCATTTCCCTCCTAAAGGATTGTAAGAAGAAACCTGTGAACTCCTGCGTTCGCTTTTTGATTTGATGTGCTTCATCTGCAGGTGTTGATCACGAGGAGCTAGTTGGTTTGGCCCAAACTCATTTTGGTGGCGTGCCTTTTAATTATGAGGCAGACAGCATCCCTGTGCCGTCACCATGCCGGTTTACTGGAAGTGAGGTGAGATCAGCTCTGCTTTTCCTACACAGTGCATTAAAAAAGATTCTTCTTTACGAAAAGAAATCAAATTAATACTTTATTAATGCTCTGAAGGAAGGTTTAGACCTGTTAGAAATAAAGTATTTCAAAATTCTGTTGAAATGTCTTCTTAGATAAAAATGAAATAATTAGTTTCTACTTTAAAATTATGCTTTAGGTGATTTTTGGAAGGTGGCTGTGGAGATGTTGAATTAATTCCTAGTAAAATGTGTGATTTTTGTTTTCCGTTTCCTCTCAGATTCGTATGCGTGACGACGATATGCCTTTGGCACACGTTGCCATCGCTGTGGAGACTGCTGGTGTCACCAGTCCAGACATTGTTCCTCTCATGCTGGCCAACGCCATCATTGGCAGCTATGACCTCACCTATGGTGGTGATAAAGTAGGAAGACTTCATTTGTCCCTTGCATGGTTTTATTTATACATCTTGAAGAAAGACAAGTTAAATCTGTGACATTAGTGCCTATTTGTTAAAAAAAAAAAATCCTCTTTAAGCTTTGCCTACTTGGTACTGTTTATGTCCTGAGTAGTCATATTGGAGGGGAAGAGCAAAACTCTGAAAACCTGAGTCAAGTGTCCCAAACTGTTCACACATTTTGCCTTCTCTGTACGAAACATGCTTCAGTTGATTTCTACAAACCGGATTCCAAAAAAGTTGGGACACTAAACAAATTGTGAATAAAAACTGAATGCAATGATGTGGAGATGGCAAATGTTAATATTTTATTCGTAATATAACATAGATAATGGATCAAAAGTTTAATCTGAGTAAATGTAACATTTTAAAGGAAAAATATGTTGATTCAAAATTTCACAGTGTCAACAAATCCCAAAAAAAGTTGGGACAAGTAGCAATAAGTGGCTGGAAAAAGGAAATTGAGCATATAACGAACAGCTGGAAGACCAATTAACACTAATTAGGTCAATTGACAACATGATTGGGTATAAAAAGAGCTTCTCAGAGTGTCAGTGTCTCTCAGAAGCCAAGATGGTAAGAGGATCACTAATTCCACCATTGTTGCGCAGAAAGATAGTGCAGCAATACCAGAATGGTGTTACCCAGCGTCAAATAGCAAAGACTTTTAAGTTATCATCATCAACCGTGCATAACATCATCAAAAGATTCAGAGAATCTGGAACAATCGCTGTGCGTAAGGGTCAAGGCCGTAAAACTCTACTGGATGCTCGTGATCTCCGGGCCCTTAAATGTCACTGCACCTCAAACAGGAATGCCACTGTCAAGGAAATAACAGAATGAGATCAGGAATACTTCCAGAAAGCATTGTCAGTGAACACAATCCACCGTGCCATCCGCTGTTGCCAGCTGAAACTCTACAGTGCAAAGAGGAAGCCATTTCTAAGAAAGTTCCACAAGCTCAGACATTTGCACTGGGCCAGAGGTCATTTAAAATGGAGTGTGGCAAAATGGAAGACTGTTCTGTGGTCAGATGAGTCACAATTTGAAGTTCTTTATGGAACACTGGGACGCCATGTCATCCGGACCAGAGAGGACAAGGATAGCCCAAGTTGTTCTCAACGCTCCGTTCAGAAGCCTGCATCACTGATGGTATGGGGTTGCATGAGCGCTTGTGGCATGGGCAGCTTGCATGTCTGGAAAGGCACCATTAATGCAGAGAACTATGTTCAGGTTCTAGAACAACATATGCTCCCATCTAGATGTCATCTCTTTCAGGGAAGACCCTGCATTTTTCAACACGATAATGCCAGACCACATTCTGCAGCAATCACAACATCATGGCTACGTAGGAGAAGGATCCGGTTACTGAAATGGCCAGCCTGCAGTCCAGATCTTTCACCTATAGAGAACATTTGGCGCATCATAAAGTGGAAGGTGCGACAAAGAAGGCCCAAGACGATCGAACAGTTAGAGGCCTGTATTAGACATGAATGGGAGAGCATTCCTATTTCTAAACTAGAGAAACTGGTCTCCTCTGTCCCCAGACGTCTGGTGAGTGTTGTAAGAAGAAGGGGGGATGCCACACAGTGGTAAAAATGGACTTGTCCCAACTTTTTTGGGATTTGTTGATGCCATGAAATTTGGAAACAACAGATTTTTCCCTTAAAATGATACATTCTCTCAGTTTAAACTTTTGATCTGTGATTTGTGTTCTATTCTGAATAAAATATTAGATGTTGGCACCTCCACATCATTGCATTCAGTTTTTATTCACAATTTGTTTAGTGTCTCAACTTTTTTGGAATCCGGTTTGTACATCCAGTGATTATTTTTTGCTAGTTTCCTTAAAATTGGTCCAGTGGTTCATGAGATATTTTGCTAACAGGCCCACAAACATGCATACACTGGCAAAAACCTTCCCTTTGCCTTTCAGCTGTAAGAAATAAGCAAATTGAAGAAAGGAGTTTGTTTTAGTCTAAATGCCATGACTTGGCTGACATCAGGGACTGGATGGCAATGAAAAGAAGTCTGAAGTCATGTTGTTCCCTCCCAACGACACGATCACAAACCACTACATCAACCTTTCCACTCTAACCCTGTCAGAAAAACACAGAGTCACTAATCTGGGCGTGATAATGGACCCTTCCCTGAAACTTAACAATCATGTAAACATGATTGTTAAATCATGTTTCTTCCAACTGAGGCGGCTGTCTAAACTGAAGCCCATATTGTCCAAAAATAACCTGGAGACAGTAATACATGCATTCATTACATCTAGGCTTGATTACTGCAATTCGCTCCTGTTTGGTATCAGTCAGACCTCCATTGCACGACTACAACTGGTCCAGAATGTAGCAGCCCAATTTTTAATCAGTACAGGCAAAAGAGAGCACATTACTCCAGTTTTGGCCTCACTGCACTGGTTACCGGTTCACTTTCGAATCCAGTTCAAAATACTCCTGTATGTCTACAAATCACTGAACAACGTCGCCCCCCCCCCCCCCCCCCCAATCCCTAATCTCTCTGATTTGCTACAACCGTATGTCTCACCACGTTCCCTGAGGTCAGCGGACCAGTTGCTCCTCACAGTTCCAGGAACTCGTCTTAAGCGCAGAGGTGACAGGACCTTCTGTGTAGCAGGACCAAGACTTTGGAACGAGTTGTCTCTGCTTGTCAGACAGACCCCCTCCCTCTCGGTTTTCAAGTCCTGTTTAAAAACCCACTACTATTCAGTAGCTTTGAACACCAGATGATCTGTGTTTTGAACCTGTATGCTCCACACTGGTTAGTCGTCATATTATCTGCATCGTTTTTATGTCTATGTTCTGATTTACCTCATTTTGTATTTTGCTTCGTGTGTTGTCTGTTGTTCTGTCTGTACAGCACTTTGGTTGGCCTTGTAGCTGTTTTAAGTGCTCTATAAATAAAATGGTATGGTATGATTTATTTCATGCATTTACGAGGTTATTGATGACAGGCTGAGGCTTTTGAGGAGCAGTCTCTTCTTGAAACATCAGACTTTTGTGGATGAATTTAGTTAAAGGTTGTCTGAACACACGTTTCGTACCTCTGCTCGTCTCTTTGATAAAATTGTGTGACTCTCTGGGAAAGGAGCAGGCTTTTTTGCCCTCATTGGCAGGTGAAGTGTGATTTCAGCTGGTCTGAGCACATGTGGTTCAGAAGGAAGAGGAGATGGCAGTGCCTTGCGGCTGTTGTTCTTCACCTTCCCTCTCTTAAACAGCATCTTGGGCATAATTTTATCCAGTGCAGGATCTTTATCTTTCTGGAGGCCTCTGCGTTTTGCTGCTGAATGGTGAGACGGCGTCAGTGGAGGAAGAGAGCAGGGTCTTTTAATGGTGTAGCCCTTGAGGAGAAGGTCGATTCCTATGTACTGTGGGACTTCTACTGCTGCCTAGAGATGAAAGTTACATCAGAACAACCATCAGAGCACCTTACATGCATGCTGTGACAGAGCCATACCTGCTTATATATAAGCTGAAAGTCTCCTGTGTTTGCGGTGCGGTCCACCCTCCGGTCCAGGACGACCCGTAGTGTGTCCTCCTGCACAGCAGCACAGAGACGAGCCGTCACAGAGGTGGAGGGTGCCATGGCGGGGCTGGCGTTGATCTCTATCAACCATGGATGCAGGTCCTGACCTAAACACAGTCAAACAGCTCAGTGTTGTTTGTGTGCGGGTAACATTTTTATAATCTTGTAATATTTTTGTGGGTGTTGTTATAAATATAGTCTGAATCGCTGCGTTGTCTTAGCTTAGACACCCTCAATATGGAATTAAATAAATAAATCTCCAGTCTGATATCCTGGCTTAACTATATATAAAAAGTTAAATTGATTTGAATAGTTGGCTGTGTGAGTGTTTCACATGTTGTCAGTACCTAACAAAAAATCAGCACCATAGAGCTCAAATGTGTTTTTGCGAGACTCCACCAGATCCTGTGCTGTCTGTAAAGCGTGGATGACAGCTTTCTTCATTCCTGGGACAACAACGGTCTTCCACAGAGCCTCCTGGCCCTGGCTGGCCAGAAAGGCCTGGAACTGGTTGTCCTGCCACATGTTGTCTGCTGGAATGCCTGGATGGCGCTGCTGAGAAGGCCTCATGTGTTTCTGGATGGAGTTATTGCACAAGTGCACAGATCTGAAGAAAATAAGTAAAACAAATGAAAATGAGACAAACAGGATTATTTGAAATAATTCTGTTATCGTTATGATTTTATAGCATGTGCTAACAAGAAAAGTCTGTTTGAGATTCTTAGTCATACAGAGCATGCTGAATCCAAAATAATAAAATCAAACAGGTACACTTCTAATATTTAGTTGAAGATGTTTCATTTCCCATCAGGGGAGCTTTCTCATTCTGAAGAACCTGGAGGTTGTGCAGTTCGGAGCATTTAAACTGTATGAGATGCTCTGATGTGTCAGCTGGAAGTTAACTTCAGTCCCCTCATGATGCAGAGTCAGGAGGAGCTTTTCCAGCCTCACAAACTGGCGGATTATTGTTTATTTTAAACGTGATTTCTAAAAAACTTTATAAATATTTTGTGCAATCCAAATAAAATCAGGTTACAACTAAATACAGAATTCCTTCATTAAATGCAGATCGTCCACCAATGTTCAGGCTCGAGGTTTAAACTACACTCATTTTAGGGTGAGCCAGGATGAAGTCATGGCGGTTTTGGTCAGATCTTGTACATGACGTTATGTGTGATCTCATGTAATATTGTAAGATTTGTTAGCCTTTGATCCGGAAGGCTTCATCAGTCAATGAAACACACAACACAAAACATTTTGTGTTGTGTGTTTCATTGACTGATGAAGCTTTCCCGTTCTAAGAAGAAACGTTTCAGCACAAAAAAAGAAACTGTCCAGATGACCTGACTGAAAAATGTTGGCTTTACATGAACCGTTCATGAATACTATGAATAGAAGGTTTTTTTGCAACATTTGCACGAATAATGGGAAGTTTTAGATGCTGCATTCAGTTTTTAAATCAACTTGAATTTTGTTGAACCGATAAATACTCAGAGTTAAATATACGCAGCAGAGATGTAAAATCGTATTTCCTTCCACAACCAGCATGCAACATTCAGCTGCCTTTTATTTGGATCTCACTTTTTGATTCTATTTCTCTAAATAAACCCCATTAATTTATTTTTATTACCAAGAAAATGACAATCTCACCTGTCCAATGTGTCCAGCGAGAAAGGCTGCGTGGAAAAGCGCATGTAACACTTTTTATAAAACCACACAGTCAGGGGGTTCCAGTCAGTGACCAGAAACCACTGGCGCACATCAAACTTAGTGCCGTGCACCAGCAAAGGCTGCTCAATGTACTTCTGCACCACCCACTTGTTATCCATGATAAGCACTAAATCGACATCCACCAACTTCAGGATCTGATCGAGACGTTTGGCACATTTTATACCTGAGCATTAAACAGAAGAGTTCAGCCAGGACTCTGATCGATGTTAGACAAACTTCTGAGCATGCTCAACTTCATACCTCTGCCTCTGGACATTGCTCCAGGTTTGATGATCCAAATGTTTTGGACGCCATCTATGCTTAACTGTGGGCTGACTTGCTCCAGTTTCTCCAGCATGGCCTGGCAGCAGCTAACTGAGTTACTGCTGCTCTTGATCTGAGCTCCACCACTGAGGGAGAAAGCACAAAAAATTGTTCTACTAGAGAACGTTTTCTCTTTACTAGATACTCTTGATTTGTTGTTAAACACACACTGATGCACACTCACTGCACAACAAGGTAGTAACTCTGAATAAACTCTGCCCACTGTTCCTGCGTCAGTGTTTGTGATGCTTCCCGGCTTGTGTCTATGTCTCTGTGCTCCAGACTGTCCAGGTACTTCTGGCATATGCTGAGTGCAGTGTTAATCAGTTGGGATAGAGTCAGCTGTTTCAATCCCTGCTTGTTCTTTTTCTTCTGACCTGAGAGGGAACAGGAAACAGCAAGACAGAACTTTTAAAATAGAATGACCAAGAATACAGTCATGAGAGAAATATTCATACCTTGAACATCTTGAACGTTGCGAATTGTTCCCTTGGACCCAATATCTCGGTCCCTCTCCACAATGTACTTCAGGAGACTGGTGCAAGCTGTCCGCCTGTAGTCCTCTGCACAGAAAACAAGGCCAAGTTTAAAGGTCTAGTAGTCCTTGAAGGAATCCATAATGCACAATAAATATTTAAAATTAACATTATATGCAATCTCATGCAATTTTGTGAAAAATGTGTTAGCACTCAAAGACTGTCTGGATGATCAACCAAATCAAATATTTGCTTAATCTCTGTAAAACTAACTAACTTATAGCCATTTTTATGTTTGCTAAGGTTGCTTAGCTGTGGTGGCCATGTTGAATTTTTTTTTTTTTTCCCTTGTCCTGTCCGGAATTGTGACAATTATAATTATTGTCTGAGAGTCAAAGTGATGCCCAACAGATTTACTTTCACAAGCAGAGCATTATGGCTGGCCTTAATGCTCCACTTGATATATAAATTAAATTTTATTAGAATTTGCTTTGGGTTTGTTTCAGATGTAATGGACATGGGGATGAAAAACAAAGATGAAAACAAAGCAGAAAAGTGAGAGAAGAGATAAAATGTAAAGAAGGAGATAGGAATAGAAGATAGAGAGAGAGGGATAAAGAGAACACAAATCAACATCATTGAAGTTTGCCTCTAGACCTGAAGAAAAAAAACAAGACAAAACCGAGAAACCACAACAACAAGCAACAAATATAATGATACTTATAACATCATTAGAAAATATTTTATACAGGACATGGTAATACAAGATGTATTTAGTGGTCTCCACAACCCAACTGAGTGTGTATCTGAAAAACACCTGAATCTAAACACCTGTGTGAGCATGCTTGTTACTATAAGGTTTCTCCATAAAAATGTTCAATAGTGGATTTGGGGACCCACAGACCCGTCCCCACAGGACATGATGGTAACACAGGGAAGACCAGAGCCACAGAGTGGTCCCCCAAGCCCGGAGCTCCGGGAGTCCCCCAACAGGGACGCCCGCACCCCACAGAGAGAGAAGCAAAGGGAAGCCCTGGCACCCCAACAGCCCCACACCACAGGCCCGGAGAGACCCCGGCATGCCACCCATGCACCCCCCCCCCCCCCCCCCCACACACACACACACACACAGCACCCCCCACCATGAATGTCACATCAAGCTGACCAGCCAGCACCCTGTCAAAGTAAAGCCACACCCCCGACCACCGCCATACACCACCAACGACCACACAGCCTCAACCACAGCCAACCCCCCCGCCGGAACCCGGCAGCCACCCCTGCCAAAGGGCTGGCCATCGCAACCAGGAACCCTGATCAAAAGATCCAAACAACCCAGGGAGAACCGGAGCACCAGCCCCACCCACAATCGCCCCCCCCAAGGCCCAACACCCACCCACAACCCAGATCCCAAAAAGTAGCTGGAAAGGTGGAACAAACTTAAATTAGCAGAAAGAAGTTAGATGCACAAAAATGTTGTAGTTAGCAGAAATAATCTGAAAGGAGTAGAAAACAACAAAGTCCATGCTCAATAATCCAGGTATAAAATCCAACA